GTAAGAATTAGCAGCAATTCTGGCATTGAGTAACAATTTCCCTAGCCTCTTTCCTGGATAGAGCAAAACGACGGTGCAAGGTCTCAGCCGTCACATGAAAGCGCTGATGGAATTCTTTTGCTGCTTGTGCATGGGTAGACAAGGCAGCGGCCACCAGCTTTGTAGCCTTGTCCGCTAAGTCATTCCCTAAGGACATGGGACCTGGGAGTCCAGAATGTGCTCGGACATGGGTAATGAAAACAGGAAATCTCCTATTTAACAAGGCAGCTTGTATCTTTTGAAAGATGTTAGCAACTCTGCTGGAGGATCTTATTATTCCAGCTATCTCAAGGAGATTAACTGCATTAACCACATAAGAGGAATCTGATACAATATTGAGGGGTCCTGGAAAAGCCTCAAGAACCTCCAGTACTATCAGACATTCTACAACTTGAGGTGAAGTTTCATTATATTGTTTAGATATAACCCTATCCTTGACCACATAAGCTCCCATACCAGTTTTTGATCCATCAGTGTACACCACAGTCCCATCTGGGAGTGGGTCTTTAGCTGTCACTTGTGGAAACACTATAGCCTGGTTTAGGGCAAACTGTAAAATTGGATGCTTTGGAAAATGATTATCAATTTGTCCTGAAAAGGAAGTAACTAAAACTGCCCAATCACTAGATGTGGCTGCCAAGGTCTGAACTTGTGCAGCAGTATAAGGCACAATCAAGGAATCAGGATCCCTGCCAAAATGTGTAACAGCTGCTTTTATTCCGCGAAGCGCGAGCTGTGCAACAGCATCAGGGTACCAGTCAATAATCTTAGCAGGGGAAGCATTTGGATGAATCCAAAGTAATGGTCCATGTTGCCACAGGACTGCAGTTGGCAATTGAGCTGTCTTAAAAACACACAGATTAAAAGGTAGTGACTCCTCAATACGTTGTAATTGTGCTTCCTGTAAGGCCTCTTCCACCATCTGTAAGGCTCGGTGGGCGGCAGGGGTAAATTTTCTGGGTGAGGAGATATGAGGCTCACCCTCCAGGAGATCGAAGAGGGGTTTTAGATCAGCAGATGGAATTTTTAAAAAGGGCCTCAACCAATTTATATCTCCCAGAAGTTTCTGAAAATCATTTAATGTTTGTAAGTGGTCTTTGCGAATTTCTATTTTCTGAGGAACTATATTTTTGGGAGTAATCATTGAGCCCAAAAAGAGGCCTGTATCTGCAATTTGAACCTTTTCTGAGGCAATCTCTAATCCCCACTGTTTTAATTCAGCCACCAGCATGGGAAAAGCCTTTTGTAAAACATCTAACTCTTTGTGACAAATAAGAATATCGTCCATATAATGGATAACGATTAAAGATGTAAATTGCTTCCTAATTGGCTCCAAAGCCTCCTGCACATACAGCTGACATATTGTTGGGCTATTGGCCATGCCTTGCGGCAGTACCTTCCACTGAAATCTCTTGTCTGGTTCCATATGATTAAGAGAAGGGATAGTGAAGGCAAACCTTGGTCTATCCCGTGGGTAAAGTGGAATAGAGAAGAAACAATCCTTAATATCTATAATAATAAGCTTCCAATCTTGAGGAAGTGCAGAAAGCAAAGGAAGGCCTCTTTGAACAGGGCCAAAAAGATGCATCTGATTGTTAATGGCCCGCAGGTCGTGGAGTAATCTCCACTTCCCAGATTTCTTCTTAATAACAAAAATTGGTGTATTCCATGGGGAGGTAGAAGGCTCTAGATGCCCCAGCCGTTCCTGTTCTTGCACTAATCTTGTGACAGCCTCTAATTTTTCAGAGGATAGAGGCCATTGAGAGACCCATAACGGCTCCTCTGTTTTCCATGGTATGGGTCGTGAAGCCTCAACGGCCCCTAAATAAAACCCAGTCCTTTTCTACCCCGATTTCCGTGTTGCGTAATGGGTTTTATTCTGCCTTGTTCTTGCCTACCCAAGCCTCTACCCTTTGTATACCCCATCTTTGCCATAATGGCTGATGCCTGGGGGAGTATTCATTAGTTAGGGTCATGCCCATGGCTTGTAACACATCCCGTCCCCATAAATTTACAGGGAGTGGCAACACATAGGGGGTAAAACATCCCTGTTTGCCCTCAGCATTCCGCCAGGTTAAGGCTGAGGCACTGATGGCAGGAGAGGACTGGTATCCAAGACCTTGTAGAGAATGAGATGAAACAACAGTGGGCCAAGACTTCGGCCACCAATGGAGTGAAATAATGCTTTTGTCTGCTCCCGTATCCATTATCCCTTCAAATTCTTTTCCATTAATTAACAATTTTATTGTAGGTCTCTCATTTAGGGGTATAGCCAGATAGGCTGAATCACTTCCAGAAGATCCCATAGCCCTTTTTTGTAAAGTGTAGGTTTCTCCATCCCCGAGGGAGGGCAGCAACACCAGTTGTGCAATTCTATCTCCCTGCTTTATAGAAAATACACCCCGAGGGCTAGAACAGAGAACTTGAATCTCCTCTTTATGATACGGGTCAACAATTCCAGGATATATAATGAGTCCCTGTAAAGTTAAGGAGCCACGGCCCAGAATAAGCCCAATGGTGGCAGGGGGCAAAGGTCCAGGGGAATGGACTGGGACCGGTTGAACATTCATTTGGGGCATGAGTAAGAAGTCGGAGGCGGCACGCAAGTCCATTCCGGGGTTCCTCGGAAACCTCTACTTCCTCTTGATTGCTTTTCTGAAATTGGTTCCCATATTTCTGAGGGCCCTGGGACCATGGGCCCCGTGACCCGTTTTTTGATTGGGGTACCTTGGGTTCTTCAATAGGGGGCAGAAGCCTCCCTTTTACATCCCGGACTGACCTGCATTCGCTAGCCCTATGATAACCTTTACCACAACGATGGCAAAGCTTCGATTCTCTTGTTCTTTCAGGGGCTTGACAATCTTTCTTAAGGTGCCCCATTCTCCCACAATTAAAACAAGCTTTTCGACTAGATAAATCTCTACGCCTGTGCGTTTGTAAAATGGCGGCAGCTAGTCCTGCATTGGTTAGGGGTCCCCCAGCTCCCTGCACACTCTGAGCCAATCTTGTAAACCTTTGCTTTTGCGAGGGGCGATAGCCGCTCGACATTCCTGGGTTGCTTGTTCATAGACAAGTTGCTCAATCAGGGGCATAGCTTGTTCTGAATCACCAAAGATGCGACTGGCGGCCTCTGTCATTCTGGCCACAAAGTCTGAAAATGGCTCTTGGGGTCCTTGGACAATCTTTGTAAGGTGTCCACTGGACTCTCCCCTTTTTGTGAGGGCCTTCCATGCTTTAATAGCGGCGGCCGACACCTGACCATAGACACCCCAGATGTAGTTGGTTTGATTAAGGGCATGTTGACCCTGACCTGTCAGCATTTCAAATGTCCACTGCCTCTGATTCTCATCTTCAGCCGTGGCATTAACTCTAGCTTGTGCCTGGGCTGCATCATACCAGAGAGCCTTCCATTCCATGTATTGTCCCATGTTGGGAAGCACTGCTTTCACTGTCGTCTGCCAGTCAGTGGGAGTCATGGCAAAATTAGCAAGCCTTTCCACCTGTAATGTGGTAAAGTTAGCATTGACCCCATAATTACGAACGGATTCGGCCAATTCTTTGATTTGATTGTAATCTACAGGGGTATGTACTCTTCCGCCTTCCGCATTCTCGAATACTGGAAAAGCTACTTGTATTTTTCTCCGTTCCTCTAAAGGTAAAAAGGAGTCAGTACCAGTATTCAGCCGAAGCTCATACTGCGGAGGCGCTGAGGGGCGTGAGCCCGCCGGATTTATAGGTGGTGGTCTCACATTCATTTTTGTTTTCAGTGGCCGGTGTCTATCAGGGTGATATCTTTCTTCCTCATACCGTGCCACCTCCTCCTCTAGACCACCTTCTTCGCTAGAATACAGAGTGTCAGAATCAGAATTATCTAGCTCCAAGGCTTCTAGCTCTACTGTAGGGTATAGACTAGATTCTGGCTTTTTCTTTTTCTTAGATTTGTTAGGGGGTGAATGATCACTCCCTTCTTTCTCTCCCCCTTTCTTAACTTCTTGGGGAGGGCCTTTTTCTTAGACATGTCTTTCCTTTTGCGAGCTCCCATTCTCTCACTCCGTTCAGTTTCTGACATGCTATCCTGAACTTCCTCTAAGGTTCCCTGACTTTCTATTATAGCAGGGTGACAGGCCTCATCCTCCAAGCAGTTTTTAACTAGCTTCCAAATGGCTTTGGTACCTAAGTGGAGATCTCCTTCTGCATGCTTCCTGTCTAGTTCTTTACCTAGCTTGTTCCATGAGGCCACAGTGAGGGACCCGGAACAAGCATACCATGGTGCCACTCTATCTACCTCCTTCACAAAATTTTGAAGTGTTCGTGGTGCAATTTTAAGATCTCTTTGTTTTAGCACAGTCTGTAGGGCAGTAACCACTGACTGTGACAACCCCATCGCGCTAGCGGCTTATCTAAAAACGGCGCTCAACTCCGTTACCAGACTGACAGCACCAGACTGACAGCACCAGACTGACAGCACCAGACTGACAGCACCAGACTGACAGCACCGTTCTGTCAGCACCAGCCACGATGAAGGAGAAGGACAAACAGGACTAGCACCAAAGCCTCCACTGACCCGTCCCACGGTGATGACAAACTAAGGCCAAAGTCGAGAAAGGGGTATTCAGGATAAAGCATACCTCTCTGAACTTACGTCCCTGCAGTTCTGAATCCGCCCCGTCTTCCGAGGGGTCTCCCGCGGCGCCGGCGATGTTGAAGAGTTCCCGGGTTTCGGCACCAGATGTCCCGCGCTACCGTCTCGCCAGCAAGAACGACGCAGAACACTCGGATCCTTCTGCAGTAAAGCTTTAATGCATCTTGAGAGATAGATGATCAGCTTCTTAGAGGGAGACCCCAAGCTAAGAAACCCAGCCCCTTATATAAGCCTAGGAGCTCCGAGTGAGACGTGTAGAGCCGGGATTGGTGGTTTGCACATCACCCCAGATGATGCCACGGGAGAGGCACAGCTTAAACGGTTAACTCCAACTGACAGCAGATGTCAGCGCCATCTTCTAACGGTTAACTCCAACTGACAGCAGATGTCAGCGCCATCTTCTAACGGCAATAGCGATAGCGAGGGCGGCTCCTCACATGCTTGATAAGTTGCTCTCCTAGCATATATAAAAGAAGGCATTATGAATCACCTATATTCCTCCTTTTGTATAGATTTTGATTTAGTGGGAATACATGTTGAAACATGCAACTGTAACATGATGTGATAGTTATCAGAAAATGTAAAGCTCCAAAAGATTTAATGCATGACACTGACTCACAAGCAACAGTCAAGTACAGAGGGATATATTACAAACGAAAGAAAAGTATTTCGTATGGATGTAAAAACATGAAATAGAAAAAGATCATGTGATTACACCATAGGTAAGAGACAGAAAATAACAGAAATCTAGAAAAGAAGTTATGGCTAATTAGCCATATAAAAGAGTTGGGACTTCAACCTAAGGCAGAACTTATAAACATTTGTGTCACAGGGATATTCTTAACATGTTAGATAATTCCAAAGAACGCTTTGTATATGTACTAAGTATCAGTCCATTCCATATTAGAAATTCAACCTATAATAACTTCAAAATATCTATTTGCTCAGGAAAAATATACATTTAATTTCCATTTCATATTAACAGCTACTACAAAAGATAATTCTGTGTTTCTTTTTAAACTTTCTATATGTCCTATTCTAAAATTAGTGTACTGAATTTGTCCTAACTACAAATTCTGGAACATTCCTACTTCCTTGAGAAAATGTACATGACAAAGAATGTCTTAATACATTATGAACAATCTTTTGACTTTGTAAAACAAAATAATTCAGAAACTTCTAGAGGCTACTTTAAAAATAATTTAGGAACTACATTAAAAGACAGAAAAATAAGACATAAAGTGTCTACAAATCCACTCTGTAGAGAATGAATGCTATTACATTAGGTACTTCATACATTGCATGACAAAATACTTGGCAAGAACAACTTAAATAAGGAAGCATCTTGGTTCACAGTTTGAGGGTATAGTGCATTATATATATATACATATATATGTATATATATGTATATGGATTTCAGAATGGAAGGACATTGAGGGGGTTAGTCACATTGCATCGGCATCCAGGAAGCAGAGAGCAATGCATGCTTGTGTTCATCTTGCTTTTTCGTTTTCATTATATCTGAGACCTTAACAGATGGAATCATGTTAGCTACATTTAGGGTGGACCATCACTCTTCAAGTACTCTAATATACACAATTCCTCACAAACATTTCAGACATTAGTTTGTATGGTGATTCAATTAATAAATAGCTGTAAGTTGACTATTAAGATTAATCACTAGGTATATTAAGGAAGATTTAAAAAATTCATGTCAGATCATGAATTCTTTTATTGAACTACCTTCAAATTTTATATGATATTATACATACTGAACCTATATAATTTCAATAATGTTACTGAAATAATTATATACTTATAATCACCCATGTCAAGATCCAACATAGATTTTGGATAAGAAAAATAAAGCTTGACAAGATATGTAACTTTGTTAAGTGTCAAGTCCTATAGTCCAATGGATAATAACCCTCTAATTGTTACTTCATAAAATATGATAATAAAGGTATACTGAATTAAGATCCTGACTAAACCCTGGATCAAGAAAGAGTACTGACACTATAAATGGAAAGGCTTTTTATTGAGACATCATCACCAAAACAATTTTTTGAAATTTTCTGGAGAGTAGCTTGGGTTTAAAAACTGAAGAGATTGCTACTATCTTCATAAATAAACTGTTGGGAGGAGTGAAAATATAGTTTTATTCCATTTGGAAAAAAGAAAGAGTGTGAACGCGTAGTGATAACATTTAATGATTACACTCATCAATAATAATTAGTAAGTAATATTTTGAGTACTATTTCCTAGATGCTATGCTAAGAGATTTATAGTCGCTTCAACTGAATCTTTTCAACAACCTATAAGATAGGTTCTATTACGAAAACTTACAACTTTTAGGTATGGTTCTTCCCACCAGCCTGTTCCCACAGCCACATCAGCCCTAAATGATAACTCAGAGACTTGTTTTAATTATAATACTGTTGGCTGGTGACTAGGGCTTATTATTGGAGAGCTCTGTATTGATTATTAACCCATTTCTATTAATCTAAGTATTTCCACGTGGTCTTATCTTACTGGAGAAGGGTTCAGACCTCTTTTCCCTCTGTGGTCTCATATGGCATCTTATTCTGACTACATTTCCCAAAATTCTCCTCATATCCTAGACCTGCCTATCTTCCTGCCTTATTGGCCAAACAGTGTTTTATTCATCAACCAATGAGAGAAACATACGTACAGAAGACATCCCCATCATACAATTGGTACTATTATCCCGACACATAACATTTTTGAATGGTTACCATATATCAGGTGTTGTGCTAAGGATTTTATTATCCTACTAATATAATCATTACAAGAAATATACAGTAGCTACCTACCTATATGAGACACTATTATTGCTATAGTAAAACATGTAATACAAGCTACTAACGAAGAAGTTTATTCATATTGTACTTTTGCATATCCTGGCTGCATCTCATTATAGTTTATACAATTGAGGGATATCAGTGAGATCAATCAAATTATTATATCATAAACCAATACCAGGGAGAAAGGACCCCCATCATTATTAAACTGGTCCAGATACTATGAATTTAAACATTTAATATTTTATTTAAATGACCATTTTTCTCCTTATGAATTAAGTGGCTCTAGAGTTTGTTTCATGTAGTCCAAAACTAATACAGTAATATTAATATCATTAACATTTCCAGAGTGACTAAAGGAAGGATGACATTCATAAAACTAGGAAAAGGAAAGAATAATAAGCCATCACCCAAGATCGCGCAATTTGTAAAAAATCAGTCCCAGAATTCAAAATTAAGTCTGTGTGACTCCCTGGTCAATGTTCAGCCTTTATATTATGCTATCATAATGTAGGTTACCACACTTATAAGCCAGCAAGATACTGTATTAAACAGATCAGTAGAATTAGTGGTAAGTAAATCATTTGTGCTGATGGTTACTTTGAGTGGAGTCGTATTACTGCTGTCCCTAAATATAAGACATTTGAAGGAATGTAGCTTGTTGCTAAGATGGTTAATAATGTTTCAAATATAGGTGTATCTCTATGATTACCACAGAGATGCATAAAGCTGATCATGTTTGCTTGCTCTTCACAAACTGGAATATACTCATTGCTAGTAAATGTGAGGCTGCACAGCACAATCATAAAGATCTAAACAGATGAAATTTGAAATTCACCTCTCTATTACTACATGACTTCAGGTATGTGATTTATTCTTCCTATGTGTCAGTTTCTATGTCTATAAAATGAATGATGTGCATGGCTTATTTAATCAAATACTATTGCATGCACAAAGTATTTATCACAGAATATATTCCAGACCAAATCAAGTATATTAAGTATACATTCAAATTCTACTCCATGAATTTTTCTTCACTTGTGGTGCTAGTGAAGGACCACTTTTTCCATAATTGGTACCAAGAATGATCATGTTGGCCATGATTTCCCTATCTTCAGCAATGAGCACTGTTAAAAATCTTTGTAAAGACCCTTGCCACCCAATGTGACTTGACCATTTGGTTGCTAAGTATCTGTTAGTGTTCAGTGATGAGGAACTACAGTGATGGAGCACCAAAACTACACTACTAGAGCTTCCCTGAATGCAGAAATGACAGCAAACAACAGTCTGTCACTCATAAACACATTAACAAGTGAAGAATTTTCTTCACCCAAACCAACCCATGAAATCTGGAAGAGTAATTGTCTTATACACGCAAAGAACAATATAAGACTTCAAAGAAAAACAAAAACTAGATGCCACCAAAGAAATACAAAGGTTTTCCATGAGCCCGCTCCAAGGAAATGGATACCTATTGTTTACTATATAGAGAATTAAAGCAATTATGTTATAAATTTCAGTAAAATAGAATACAGACACATAATGAAGTTAAATCAGCGAAACAATAAACAAAAATGGATATTCAGAAAAGGGAGAGAAGCAACATACAAGAAACAATTCAGAAATTCTAAATCAGACAAATAACAAGGAATGAAGGAAAACACAGAACAAAGATCATTATTTAATGGATTTTATAAAGATACTTGTCAACTAGAACAAAGTCATTATATAATGTAACCCAATAGAAAAAATAGTACTGAACAAAGAGATGTGAATAACTGAATGCCATCTAGTAAAATCATAACCACAAGATGGAAAATCCAGAATAAATAAAATAAGGAATAGGTTATTGAAAATAATAATGCCAGAAAATTTACTAAATCTTATGGAGTATGGATATCCAGATACAAGGACTTGTAGAAACTAATAAAATTTCAACTTGAATAAGATTTTAGTGAAAAACATTACAATCTACCCAGCAAATGTTGAGACAAAGGAAAATTTGAAAGCAGCGAAAGAAAAGAAATTTATCTCATACAAGAGAATTCTCATAAGTAGATTTCTCAGCAGGAATCTTACAGACCAGCGGAGAATGAAATTTATTTTTAAAGTAGTGAAATAGAAACTGCCAAGCAAGAATATATTACCAAGCAAAACTCTACTTCAAAAATGAAGAAAATGTACCTAGAGAAATGGCTTGGTGATTAAAAAGTACTGCTTGTTCTCCCAGAGGATCTGGGTTCAATCCCCAGCACGCCCATGATAGTTCACACTCATCTCTAACTCCAGTTCCAGCAGATCCGATGTCCTCTTCTGGACTGTATAAGCACTGCATGCACATGGTGCAAACATCCACACAGGCAAAACACCAGTTGACATAACATAAATATTTTTAATGCAGTGCAAATAAAAAATTCCAATAGTCAAGTGAGGACTAAGGAAGCAGAGGCAGGAGAATCATGATTTTGTGATTAGCCTGGGTTACATAGTAAATCAAAAGTCAGTTTATGCTACAAACCAACACCTGTTACAAACAAGAAACAAAAAAACCCTGTGCAGTTCAGTTAGCTAAAAACCATTAAAGAAGTCATACAAGTCAAAATAAAGGAATTATTAACAGGAATGCTTGGAAATGCATGGAAATATAAATTTCACTGATAAAGAGTGAGTATACAGTCAGATTCAGCCCATTCTGATTTTGCAATGGTGGTGTATAAATCATTTAACTGTAGAATGATTGACAAAAGATAAAAGTATTAAAAACAACTACCATGACAACTCTGTGTGTGTGTGTGTGTGTGTGTGTGTGTTTGATTCACATTTTGATGGACCTACAAATACATACAGGATTTGAGGCTACAAAGGGCTCATAGCATATAATTTTATTCATCAATTATGTCTCCAGAAGGCTGAAAAACATACAATATTTATTTTAAGGGCATATATTATAATACACATAAAGTAAATATGTACAAATACTTTTGTAGTGTTCACGGACAGTTCAAGTTTCAGTGTGGTTAGGACAACCTAAAAACTCTGTGCTCTGTCTTCACTGACACAAAGAAAAGATTGTCAAAATGATCAAATACATTCATTGAAATGAGAGTGATGTAATTCTAAAACCAAACCAATCAGATAAGGGACTAAAGTTTTGATAAAATGGACTGGAGTTTTTGGTATATAATGAATAGGGACTTAATTGGGAAAAATGAGCATAATTTTTGAAGAACCTAAAGTAGAATAGAATTTACTGAGAAGTAAACTGTCTGTAAATGTCAGGTAATTATAATCATCATATTCCCTTCAACACTGGAAAAGTTGTTAACTATCTATGTTTATAGAAAAATCTACTTTTCTTTTAAAGCACACATAATGATGTAATTTTGAAAGATAATTCCCCCTCACATCCATAAACATGCATACGTGTTCACATATACAGGAATCTTGGCTGCCTGATTCTTTGGGGATCATGCCTACCACTTCAATAGGGTACCTCAATGCATCTGCGTGCAACTGTAGATTGCCATATTATCCAAGTAAGTTAGAAAAATAAATACCACATTTTCTCTGATTTGTGGAATGTATGGGAGACAAAATTATTATGTGTATGCCCATAGCATAGATGTAGAAATAAGTCTGTCTGTGGAAAATGGAAGTGAATAGTGAGAGGGAAAGAGGGCATAGAGGAGAGTAGAGGGTAGTGCAGTCAAAATACAAGATAAACTTCTAAGCAGATATCTCTCTTCAATTTCTCATTATGTACAATGAGCACAAACCAGGGACAAATTTGTAGAAGATGTGAAATTTTCATCTTAATATAGCTGATATTTTATGAGTAAATCAAAAAATATTGGTTAAGATACAGTTGGAAAGAACTCAACCATATACAAACCTGCAATACATTTAATATATTCAAATAAAATTAAAATCTATTTAAAAACTATTTCCTTAAGAAAATAAAAATGGACTGGGTAGTGACGGTGCACACCTTTAACTCTGGCACTTGGGAGGCAGAGGCAGATGGATCTCTGCGAGTTTGAAGCCAGTGGGTCTACAAAGCAAGTTCACAGACAGCTAGGGCTGTTACACAGAGAAATCCTGTATTTTAAAAAAAAAGGAAAGAAGGAAGGAAGGAAGGAAGGAAGGGAGGAAGGAAGGAAGGAAGGAAGGAAGGATGGATGGATGGATGGATGGATGGAAGCCCTTCATCCAGTAGCTGATGGAATCAGGAACAGATATTCACTGCAAAGCACTGGGCAGAACTCCTGGAGTTCAGTTGTAGACAGTGGGGAGTGATGAGCAAAGGAGTCAAGACCATGCTGGAGAAACTTACAGAAACATCTACCTTGAGCAAGTGGGAACTCAGGGACACCAATCTGGCAGTTGAGGGACAAGCATAGGACCGATCTAAACCGCTTGAACATGGGTGTCAGTTGGGGAATTGGACAGTCTATTGGGCCACTGGCAGTGGGACTATATTTATCCCTAGTGCATGAACTAGCTTTTTGGAGCCCATTACTTATGGAGGGTTACCTTGCTCAGACTAGATACAGGGGGAGGGGCTCAATCCTGCTTCAGATGATGTGACAGACTTGGATGATTCCTCATGGGAAGCCTCACCCTCTCTAAGGAGTGGATGGGGGTGTGATGGGGAGATGGTGGGGGCAGTGGGAAGATGGGACAGAACACCGACAGGGAACTGGGATTGGTATGTAAAATAAGATTGTATTTAAAATAAAGTAAAAAACAGAAAGAAAATGGAAAAAAGAAGACAAAAATGGGAACCTGAGACTGGAAAAATATTTATTTACATCATACAATAGATACATAAGGCTTCACACTGAATGTATGTTACAGAGGCTGCTTACACCTCTGAAAAATATGGCAAACAATCCAGTACAAGGTTGTTTTAATTTTTAACATTTTAAAATTATTTTCCTGGCCGCACAAATAAATGATATTGCTTGTGTGATGTTAGTAGATAGATACTAATAGGCTATGTTCCTATCCATTTCCCATTACCCTCCCCTATTCTTCCTAAACCGATCGTGATGGGCCCTTTGAAAGGCAGGTCTCTGGGCATGTCTTTAGAGAATTAATTCACTTTATGTTAACTGAGGTAGGAAGATCTGTCCACTGTAGGAAGTTCTATTCCCTGAAGTAAACTGTGTAAAAAAGAGAAAGCTAGCTAAACCCAAGCATTCATTGCTCCCTTCTTACTGACTGCACATGCAATGCCACCAGCTGCCTTAAGCTCCTGCTGGTGTGACTTCCTTATCATGATGGGATGTAATCTTGAACTGTGGGTCAAAATGGCCCTTTCAGCCTTCAGCTGCTTATGTTAGAGTCAACTGCTTCACAATAGACGAAAAGTAACCAATACAGTTCTCTTTCTATTTTCATGTCATCTAGATAATAGGAAAATAGTAGATAAAATCCAGATTCAACACATGATAGAAACATCTGTCATTCAAAGCCTGCCTTATTTTGCTTAACATAAGGATCTCTAGATGTGTGCAGTTTGCCTGAAATTTTCTTGTCCTATCATATCACATGCATCCTATCATCATGTTTCTTTCATAGGGCCCCATTAACTTCTTCATGCTTACTTTATTTTGGCTAACCCTTCTTCTCACCTCTCATCTTCTCATCACCATCATTCCATTACCTCACTGAACATTTCCACCCCAAATGTTCTCTCTTTCTCCTTTCTTCTCAGCTATAATCTACTATCCTTCCTCTGAATTTCTGATGGGCACATGTACTCCAGGACAAATGCACAAAACACAAGACCTGAGATTAGCACACATATGAGAAAGAAAATTGTATTTGTCTTTGGGAATCTGGATGATTTCACTAAGAATAACTCTTTTTGAGTTCCATCAATTGCTTTCAAATTCAATTATTTCTTTATAGGTAATATTATACTGTACATATGTAACAGCTTGAACTTTTTGAAGAATACCACAATAGCACAGGAAATAATTTTATGGCAATGGGAATAATGCTCAAAATCGGGAGGCAAGAGTCCTTTCTTTTACAGTTATCATATGATCTAAAACACTCTTTATTTTGTGTGTTTTAATATAGTGAAACATGTATGGAGAAATATTTCTACATAACATTTAATAGCATATTTATTAAAATAACAAATAACCAAATTTTATCTCAAATGATAATGAGTGAAAATAGTCCCATCCAAAGAACAGATTACTTCCCATCAAGACAAAGGAAAAAGAAGGATAATTCCTATGTTATTATATGCAGCAGCTCTGCATGAGTCATAGGGAGATTTTGTGAGCAAACACGAAAAGAAAACTCTTGACTTTTAGAAGCCAAGGAAAGACTAATCTGTAATACTACAAAACAAATCACTATTCATTTTGGAACATCACTGAAGGTGAGAAATGAATGAAAACCTCTCCCAGAAGACCCTCAGAAGCAGAGCTACATTGTAGAGAAGCCAATTGTTACTCCTATTTCTACCCTTTCACATTCAGGAACAACATGATCAGCGTGAACATGGGTATATATTAGTATTTATGTGATAGTTTTAAGGAAAAAGTAAATATCAGAGATTTTCTTCATGAAGAACCATGTGCTTAACATTTTCAGGAATATCATTATTTTATGTAATACCTTTTCAGAGGAGAAATAAACAGTGTCTACTCCCTTAAGAGGCCAACAATAAAGCAAAGTCTAATTCCAACAGGGATTCCCACTAGGGAACTGGGAAAGGAGCTGCTTTACAGGAGCGAAAGTGACCCCAAGGCAGCTGCTCCAGAAAGTCTACACCCAGCATAGATGATGACTTCCCCCAAACATGCTTATACACAGTTCCCCTTTAGTTAACTTCCCAAAGCCTATACTATTGTACCTCCTGAGACTCCATGCCAATTAGGACAGAATTCATAGAAATGTCTGGAAAAGTACAAAAGAGAGTCCTGGAATTCCTTACCTCTGTCCTTGCTTCTCTAAGGGAAGATCAATAGTCCACAGTCTTAACTTGAGAGTCTCTTTTGTGAATGCAGGAACAACTGATCCGATGAAGATGGCAGCTGATGGGTCAGGAGAACCACATTCTACAGCAGGAATAAAGAGATCGTATAATTTGGGTGACATTATTACAAGAGATTGTCCAGACTAATATACTTCTAATGTATATATTATATTGTGTTAATTATAATGTGAATTTTCAAAAGAGCCAAAATCTTGGACAATCACATCACAAAAATAGTCAGTAATCACCTGAAAAATGCTCAATAATATTAACTATGGGCATTATGTAAATTAAATCCATAATCGGATAGCACTTTATATTATGAATGTTTTATATTTAAGTTATGCCTCCAATTATAAGACCTCCCCAGAATATTGAGCAATTAAAAAATAGTATGTCACCCAGGAGTAAATAAAATGATGTTATCTTAACAAAGTCTGACCTCGTTTATAAAGTTATAGGTACACCTACCCAAAGTATATGTAAATATGGATAACAATCACTAATGTGTTGATGAGTAACAGAAGCTGGATAAAAAAGAGTATAGCCTGTGTTTTTACATTTGAATCAAGAGCTAGAATAAGCCAAAATAATTTATGATAAAATAAATCAGTTTTCTTTGCTTCAGGGAAAAGAGTCACTCAGGTAGTAAATTTGTCAAAAGTAATGATGCTTTATGCTGAGTGAAACTTCATTGTGTGAAAATTATACTTCATTAATGAAATCAACAAAGGAAATTTCACTGAACTTAAATTTTTTTCAGATATCAACAGTGAACTCTTGGGACTCAAAGTGTTGTTTACAGTCTTATTTGCACATTAGAAAAGCAAGGGGATTTTAAAAATATTCAGTCTTGTGCCCCATTGCCAAATAGTGAATGCTCCTGGCCTCGTATTAAGCCATTCCTTTATTAATTGTAAAATAACAACATAATTGGATAGTTTCAAGGCATCAGTCAGAAGAGAAATCAATATCTCCATTCTCAAATGTACTATTTCATGCCTTTGTTAAACTGATTTGATATCAGAATGCATACATGCAGTATTTAAAAATTGGGGTTAAAGAGATGACTCAGTGATTAAGAGCACTGGGTACTCTCCTAGGGGACCAATGGATCAATTCCCAGAACCACATGGCAACCATGCAAACATCAGTAACCCCACTTCCATGGGATCCAATGCTCTTTTCTAGCCTCTGCCAACCACTGAACATATGCACTGACGATGGCATACATGTAAGAAAAACAGCAGTACATAAGAAGTAAAATAAATACATTTTAATTAAAAAATTATGTCATATATCCAGAAACTGTTTTAGTATACAACAGTTAGCTATGAGACTAAAATAGTACTTTTATTTTATTTATTTATATTTTATGAATCATATTTTTATTTTTTATTTAAATAAAAACAACCTTCTATTTTCCTTTTTCAAAATATCAGTAATTTATTTTTTATTTAATTAGAAACAAGCTTGTTTCACATGTCAGTCCCAGCTACCTCTCCCTCCCCAAATCCCTTGTGCCTCCACCAGTCTCCCAGTCCCCCACCCAATCCCCACACCATTCCCTAGGAAGGGTGAGGCCCTCCATGGAGGATCTCCAAAGTCTGTCATTTCATCCAGGGCAGGATCTAGGTCCTCTCCCATGTGTCCAGGCTGAGAGAGCATCCCTCCATGTGAAATGGGCTTCCAAATTTCATTCGTACATTATGGTAAATATTGATCTACTACCCAAGGGTTCAGAAATCGCTGAGGCCTCCTAACTGACACCACATTCAGGGGAGTCTGGATCAGTCCCATGCTGGCCAGTCAGCCATGAGTCTGGGGTCTAAAAGCTCCCCCTTGTCAGGTCAGCTGTCTCTGCGGGTTTCACCAGCATGGTCTTGACCCCTTTGGTCAACACTCATCCCTCTCTGTCACTGGGTCCAGGAGTTTAGTTCAATGTTTAGCTGTGGGTATCTGCCTCTGCTTTCATCAGTCACTGGATGAAGGTTTGCCAGTGGGATTGTAGTCTGGCACTCCCCTGATCCATGTCTAAAATCCATATATGAGTGAGTACATAGCATGTTTGTCTTTTTGTGTCTGGGTTACCTCAGTCAGGATGGTTTCTTCTAGTGTCATCCATTTGCCTGCAAGATTACATAAAAACAATCTTATTTTAATACCATTCCCAATTCTGTCTCCATCTCATCCTCTCATGTCCCCCTCCATCTCCCCATCCTCCACCCACTCCCCAAGGAGGGTGAGATCTTCCATGGGGGATCATCAAAGTCTGTCACATCATTTGGGGCAGGGCTTATTTATACTATATGTTATATTTCTTTTTTATGGTTTTTTATTTAATTTCTTCTAATGATGCATAGAAAATACCAAAGTGTTTAACAGTAATAAGATTTTGAATACAGAGAATTTTTGAAAGAATACATTGGATTCTAAAGAATGGAAAATGAGGTGACCATAAGATGAAACTGGCTTGGAAGTCAATGTCCCTTGGCCACAGAAGGACATCAAGTCCTAGGAATGAGACTCAAAGCTCATTACTAAAACAAACTGAACTGCAATAGCAAAAGCAGTATAATTTAAATAAGTAGTGTAGGAGAAAGAACCTTGACTAATTCCCTAGCAATCTAAATCAAAGACTAATTCAAACTACTTTTGGAAAATTCCATTCCTACTTTAGGGAGTTTCACCTTAATGAAGTGAAGGGTTAGGATTTTATGACTTCTAAGCCTGGAGTACTTGAGAATTTGTGACTCAATTTTAACTCCAGGAGATAATATATTCCAGGATGTGGGAGAATTTCTACAGGTGCATTTTGGTGTTCTGAAAAGTAGAAATTTCCAGGGCTAGAAAGGCCAAAGCTTTATTTTATGTATCAGAAGCTAAAGAGGTTAAACAATCACTGAATGAAAAAATGCCATCTCCAGTTCAACTTGTTTCTTCCTTGTCATTCTCTGTCTTCCTCCTCTAAATTCCTCACCATCAACACTAGAGTCTTCAGTAAAGCTTTTTTCAATCCATAACTTCGATCTGTACTTCCTCTCAGGGGTCATTAGTCCTCCTGTGGAAGACCTGGGTTTGGTGGCTTATCTATAACTTCAGTGCCACAAGATCTAACAAACTTTTCTGACCTCTTCGGTATCAGGCACTTACTTGGTGTAGAGGAACACATGCCTACAAACACACACATAAGCAAGACATATTTTCAAAGATTCAGTTAGACTTTAAAGTGATGTGAACCATACTGTGATGGTGAAAATTAAAACTAACTCTGCCGCTGAATAACACAACTTTGAAATTTTATAAGGAACAATCACATTTGTATTTTCTAATTAGAAATTCTACATCAAAGACCAGACTTGTTTCAGTTAAATTAGTAACAATTATGATGTTTAAGTAATTTAAAAATTATTTCCTATACAGAAATAACAGACCAAGCAGCTTTAGCACTGGTGATCTTAACTCAGAGGAAAAATTAAACTTGTCTTAAAACATGAACTGAAGAGGAAAAGCCAATGAATTAAAAGTAAATCAAGACTGGGATATGTCTCAATTTGTAGAGTGCTTGTCCTGCATGAATCACAACATTGAAAAAACTCAATTTCTCTTTCTGCCCTTTCATGTATGAAAAGATATCCCATATAAGTTAATAACATTATACAAAAAATATAAGATTTTTATCCCTCCAAATCAACGATAAATAAAGAACACTGTCAAACCTGGCCACAGAGACCCAATAAAAAATGGGTGTGTTGCTATATGCCTATAATCTCAACTACTCAGAAGGTTGTAGCAAGAATAAACCACTTCAGGTCTAGCCTTCATTACATAGTAAGACCTTGTCAACAAGTCCTGATTAAATAAATACAAACAAATGAAAAAATAAACAAAAAGCAAGTAAAAATAAAAAGGCCTTGTGTTAAGAGCACATAAACATATAAAGCATCAGAAACACTAAAAAAAGAAAATCTGCAATCAAAGGAAGGTGCATCTTAACTGGAGATATGTGAGGGCTGGAGAGAAAGTCATATGGGCTAGACCATCATTGACTAGGTAAAAATCTTCTAATGATATGTCAGTGGTTAGTGTGGAAATCCTGGTCATGAATCATGCTATAGACCAGGCAGAGAACACTCAACTAGCCAGCAGGCTATGAAACAAAGTTCTGGGCTGAATAGTTGAGAGACTGCAGAACTGCAAATAAATATTCAGCGTCTGCTCAAAAACATTGTTCCTTTCCATTGCAACTTATGAGGCCTGTAAGGCCAAGAGTTTGATTATACACAAGTGGATTTTATTGATCCACAGCTTATATTACCCTTGAATAAAGGACATATTTGCCAGAGTTTCTGGAAGTGCTACTAAAAAGTAGCCTGTAGCTACAGAGATGTGACTTACCAAAGGACACACCCTCTCCTAGGTGGCCTACATCCAACAACCAACTCAGGTAGTTATATTAAAGCATAATAAAAAGCTAGACCAATTGGGCAATGCTAGGAGTACATTACAATTTGACTTTTCTTACCTTGCCATTTCATTACTGAGTACTAGAGCCAGATCCTAGAAGAGTCTAACCCATGACAACATAGAAAATATGATAATACAAAAAATTGTGAACAAAAAACTGAGAACATTAGATGTGAGATACATATTACCTATTATGAAGAGATATTAAGTAGATACTACAAAGGATGTAACAAAAATAAGAGGTAAAGGACTGGTCTTGGGTAACAGCTCAGTATGTGAGTGTACCTGACTTGAAATTCCCATTACCAGCACGAAAATTAGACGTCATGTGTGTATAACTCTAATTCTGGTGGAGGGACATGGAAAAAAAGTAGATCTTTGGAGTTCACTGGCCAGCTAATCTAGGTGAATTAGTGAACTCTGAATTAAATGAGAGCTCATGCCTCACAATATAAGATGGAGATAGATCAAGGAAGATACCTGATATTAATCTCTGGCCTGCACACATTTGCATGTAGATCCAGTCACTAGTGCCCACCAGAGCACACAAGCAACACAATTAGCAATATTAGTAATGAAGTGAGTGATGTACACAGAAATTTGAAGTGTCACAGATATATAGACTTATCTTTCCCACTCAGAGAATATGAAGGAGCACTGGAGTCCATGAGAGGATATCCCACAACTAGAGTCCTTTGAGATTTATTCAGGTTGTTATGTATACCAAAATTTCTATTAAGTCTCCCACAGGAAGTAGCCTGGACCTCCCCTCAGCTGTACAGATGAAGTATCTTCCCAAATAAGCTGTGGGTCTAGGAGCCACCCTCAGACTTAGAGGACAGGTGGCATCCCACAGGCATTGGAACAGGAGAAATCTTAATTACAATGAGCCAGAAAATATTTTCCTCCTTTAACCATACCAGAAGATTCAAACTGAAGGAAGTTCTTCCATACCTTCAAGGTAGCACCTTCATAAACCAAAAAGACTAAAATACAACTTCCTTGAAAATTACGATGTCATTAAAGCTACAGTCTACTGACACAAACCATTAAGAGAGGGACTACATACTAAAATAAAAGATTTGAAAAAGATCTGGATTTTTCTAATATTATTAGATAATTTGTTTGAAACACAACAAAAAGATTAAGAAAATAACAAATAAGAAAAATAAAACCCTAAAAATAATACTGAGAAGAATACATATCTGACTATTCATGTTTGCTTAATCAGAAAAAGCTAAAAACTCAAATTTTAAAATTCATGTCTCAGACACAGAAGTGATCTCAGAAAGATCATAGGGTACATGTTAGTAGAAACAAATCACATGTTTATTTCTACCAATATGGTAAAACAAAAATTTAAAACACAGTATCATTTCAAATTACTCAAACCTTGACACAATCCATATGTCCTTGATCAGTTCTATATGTGTATGACTCAAAAGCAGTCATATCATAGAATAATACTCAGTGGAAAAGTAGCATGAACACCACAACAAGGGTAAATCTCCTTGTATAATCAGATGGTAAGTTTCCATTTATATAACATTTTTATAATGCAATAGCTATAAAGAGAAAGCATTAGCAATTGCCAAAAGTTAATGGGTGTGCTAAAATTAGCATGAAAATCTTGGTAGTGATGGGTGTATGCTCATGCTTTATAGTACAATGTCAACATCCTTGTTTAGACATTGTACTACAGTTAGGAGATATATTACCATTGGGGAAGTTCATAATAAGTGTACAAAGATCTTTCTGGACTATATCTTACAACTCTGTGTAGACTTTACTTCAAGTTTTAAATAGCCAAGTGTCATGGTGCATGCAAGTCATTAATTCCAGCAATCAGAAGTAAGAGGCCAGTGGGTCGCAGTGAGTTTGAGCTTCCCCCACCTCCAAGTCTACACAAGTGAGTTTTAAGACAGGACTAAATAAGAAGGCCCTGTCTGAAAAGCAGTTTTAAATATATCTGGCTCTTGTATGGAAGATGTTGTGTGAAGGGGTCAAGCACAGAGATAGCACAGCAGAAAAGCAAGAATACAGTATAGTGATGAGAACTGAGGTAGAATTTGCACAGGTGAAGAAAAAGGTATAGTGTTGGCAAATATTAAAGATCTAGAATTAATGGGACTTGCTTATATGAAGAGGAAAAGAAAAGAATCAAAGGGACTCTTAGATTTGACTTGGTCTTCTTTTTATTGTTTCTTTTTCATTTAAAAATTATATTTTATTTTACAAACCAACCCCAGTTCCCCTTCCCTCCCCCCTTACCTCCACTTCCCACCTTTCCAACCCCCCCCCCACTCCTCAGAGGGAGTAAGACACTCCTTGGGGAGTGAACAAAGCCTGGCTTATCAAGTTTAGGCAAGACCAACTGACTAGAAGGATTTTGAGACAGATGCATTACCTACTGCACTAAGAGTGCTCTGACTAGAAGGATTGAAAAGACCAAGGATGCAGGGAAATTAAGACACACTAGAATGGGATTGTCTATTAGTAAAATCGAATTATTAAGTATGAAGCAGAATATATAATCATTACAATAGTATGGGGGTAGAATTGTGAAAATCCCTAGTATATAGATGATGGTTATCAACAGGAACTAAATGGTGACTTGAGAGAAGAACATTAACAGAAAAAGAGAAAAAACAGATCTTAACCCAA